GAAAATGGTTTTTTGCTCCAACACTTGATCTATCCATTTTTTTTTAGCTTGATTTGAAGTCTAATTACTCAAAAACATGTATAATTCCTTCTAAAACATAATCAACTAACATCATCAAATAGAATCTTATCTTTTCTATATATACAACCTTCCATTATATATGCCCAAATCATGTAAATATAACTTAGATTTAAGGAAAGCATGGTTTAATTCCTTGAATTCAACTCAATCCACTCATAACTCAACATTTAGGCTCAAGAATCACTTAAAACGGAATCCAGATGAAGGAGATATGCCTTTTTGAAATTGGGTTGAACAAGGGATCTGCTCGAGCGGAAATATTCACCGCTCGTGTGGCCCAAATCCGCTCGAGCGGAAAAATCGGCCACTCGAGCGCCCAAGGAGCAGAATCAAAACTTATTTTTTGCTTCATGTTACGCTCGTGCGGTGCCCATGGCCGCTCATGCGGTTTGGGCTAACTTAGACAGTCCGAAAATGACCAAAATGAAACCCTCCAAACTTATTTCCAACCCCAAATTCAAGCAAAGCTAATCCAAAAATATGTTATACTAGCATGATTCAAGGGTAATTACATGTCAAACACATCAATCTTGCTTCAATAACAAAATCAAGGTCTCACATTTTCATAACTTCATAAATTTCATGATAAATCTTAAATACATAAAAACATGGATGATCCTTTAATAAATCTTTGCTATATGCACAATTTAGAGCTCATTTCATGCATCAATCATAAGATTGGACTTAAAACAAACAAACATAAAGAGATTTCATGCATTTAGTTCCACCCATTACATAACCCCAAAACCCTAGCTCAAAGTTTCCAATTTCCTTTTGATTTCATGCCAAATATGAGCTAAAGACAAAGATTCTAAGTAAATTGCCATACCTTAGCTTCAATTTAGGGTTTACTCCTTGAATCTCCACCAAATCTCTAGTTTCTCCTCTTCTTCTCTCTCTCAGTCACATTCTAGCAAAGCTCTCCCCAAAATGATGAACTCAAGAACTAGGGATATATATTTATATATATAAATAATATAGGCTATATAAAATATTACGAATCGTAATTTTACAAAATTTCACCGTAGGCTCTAAAAATCATACTAATCACAAATATGAAGTCATTTTTGGTTCATCACGCCTCTAAGACTTTCAATTTTCAGTTTAAAGTTCCAATTGCAACAGATTTTCCTACATTCAACAGATATAAAATCCAAAATTATGTAATTCACATCCTTAACTTGCAAATTCATCTTAAACACATAAACATGTGTATAATTAAGCATAAAACGGTTGGGTTATCACAAAAAAATAGAGAGATAATTGTTTTATATAGGACTCTTCGTGACTTTTAAAAAATATAATATATTTGAAAGGATAAAATTGGGATTTAAAAAGTTAGAAAACATGACAAATTCTTCCCACTTTTAAAATAGAGAGATGTCTTTTTTTTTTTTTTTGATAAGAAGGGAGACAGTTTGTTTATATTTATATAAGACTCTCAACTCCGAAAAGAAAGAAATAATTAGTTTATATAGGACTCTTCATGATTTTTTTAAAATATAATAGATTTGAGAGAGTTAAACTAAAATTAAAAAAAAAAAAAGTTAAAAACAGACTCTGCACACTTTCATAATAATAGTAGATTAGGTTCTTTCCTGTATTGATTCAAGTTTGGATAGATGGTTTTTCTTTTCTTTTCTTTTTTTTGTTTTAAGTTTTGGAGTGATGTAATTTGGCAATTCATATCGTTTAATTTCATTTGGTTGACATCTTATTAACTAATCATGTTTTTGTCTTTTCTTGTTTTGGGATTTTGGTGTGCACATGATTAGTTGGATTTCGGGTGCCAACATAATTGAGATGCGTTATCTATTGATATTTTCATGCTGTATACTTTTATTCTCCCTCAATAAAAATTTCTTTGTTGGGAAAAAAAATTTATTAAGTGATATTACAACTTGTTGAGATGAGGTATTTACCTGTGTATTGCATTTATTTATTTATTTATTTTCATCTAAAAGCTTCTCCACTCATTATACATTCATTTTAAAGTAAAATCCCTGCAAAGTTTTAACAAGTTATTGAGAATTTTTAGCCATATGATTATCATATTGGACTTTTAAAGGGGTTTTCAGATAACTCAGAATTATTTTGAAAGTGGGATGGTTGAAATTCACATAATCAACTTTTATTTTTTAATATTTAACCATATTTGCCCAAAAAGGTGTAGAAGAACAGCTAGTTCCAAAAAATCTGCAGAAGAGGGTTGAGTGCAATCATGATCCTCAGAAAAGTCTCTTAGTAGGCCAGGCAGTAAAGGGTCAAACCCTTACCTCGGGCTTTATCAAAAGCCTTAGTGAGTCTCCAAAAGAAAGGCCTGTCATCTGTATAGAGATAGCTTTAGGCCAAGATCAAAATGGGCTGCAACCCAATGAGTCAAGCCACCTGAATTTACTACCCACTAGGCCCTTTAATAGTGGATCAAATACTCTAGTTGTGAAGCAGTTGTGTGGAGCATCAGGTGTGAATCCACAATTTAAGGCCAACGATACATACAAGCCATCCACTTCAGGCTCCACCAGCAACCATTTTAGGAAAGGTAAAAGGAAAGGTTCTAGAAGAGAAGGGATCAAACACTCTTTATTTGCAGGTAGATTCTCTGGATTTGCAAGAAGGGTAGGGCACAAAGGGACAAGATCAAGCAATGGGTTCAAAAGAGGAATTAGAGCCAGATCATCAACTGTTCACTCCTCACCCAATCACACTTTAGAATCAATTCACACCTCCTCTACAAAGGAAATTCTACATGAGGCTCTTGCAACACTCCAGGTAGGGAAAACTCTGGGGATTGACTACAAGGGTCAAGAATCTGAGGTTGTCAAGAAATTCATACACATAGAGGAGCAAGATAAAGTGAGAATGGCTGGAGGAACTGGTATCGTGGAATAACCAGCTTCCTGATAGGTGCAATCTGGAGTATATCTGTTACACATGAAGATTCTAAGCTGGAATGTCAGAGGTCTAGGAATGACTGAAAAGAGGAGGAAAATCAGGAAGATTTTGTATGATAAGGCAGTAGATATGGCTTTGCTTCAAGAAACAAAGCAATCAAGTATTACAAACTTGCTAGTAAAAAGTCTTTGGCCTAGAGACAAGATAGAATACATGACTGTAGATGTTGCAGGTCTGTCTGGTGGATTAATCTGCATCTGGGATGCTGATGTCTTCCATCTCTCAGATTGCTGTAGCAGCATGAACTTTATTCTTTTGTCAGGTAAGGTTCATAATTGTTTTGACTGTGTTATGGTCAACATCTATGCCTCAAATGATGTAATAAGGATGAAGGCTTTATGGGTGACCCTGTTAAATTTGAAAACAATTTTTGCAAATCCATGGTGCCTTGGTGGAGACTTCAATGAAATTAGGAATGTGGGGGAAAAAAACTAGGAGTTTCTTGCAGGGATAGAGGCATGCAGGAGTTTAATGACTTCATTGATAATTGTGAGGAGATAGATGTCCAAATGCTAGGCAGAAAATTCACCTGGTGTAATACTCTTAAAGGGATAAAGTGGAGTAGAATATATAGATTTCTTCTTAGTCCTGAATGGTTAGTGAGATATAAACTAAAACTATGGGTCTCCCAAGAACTATTTCTGACCACTACCCACTTCTACTCATGGAGGATGGTAGGGACTGGGGGCCCAAACCTTTCAAATTTTTGAATGCATGGACTTTACATCCAACTCTGGCTTCCTTGGTAGAGAGCAATTGGGGAGAACTACAGTTGAATGGATCCGTAGGATTCATCCTGAAGAGGAAATTACAGTCCCTGAAGTTGGCCTTAAAAAAATGGAATCAAGAGTCTTATGGTAATGTTGCTAAAAAATTAGAAGCCTCTGAATCTGCTTTGCATGATCTTGATCTAAAAGCTGAAACCAAACCTCTGGATGAACGTGAATTGATGTTGCAAAGAGAGAAAAGAAATGAAATATGGTCTTTGAGTAGGAAGATGGAATGTGAATGGCTCCAAAAATCTTGGATGGACTGGAACCTGAAAGGGGATAGGAACACCAGCTTTTTTCATGTCATGGCCACTAGTAGACAAACCAGAAACACTATTAACTCCATCACAGTTGGGGATGTGATTCTTGAGGATCCAGTTTCTATCAAGAATGAGGTTTGGCTTCACTTTTCAAACCTTTTCAAAAATAATTGGAAAATGAGACCAACCTTGTTAGGTGAATTCAAAAGTATTAGGCTTAGTACCCACTTTCATGTGCTTAAAGTAGATTTTTCTGAAGAAGAAGTTTGGGCAGTAGTAAGTGATTGTAATGGGAACAAAGGCCCAGGACCAGATGGATTTAACCTGATGTTTTTTCAAAAATTTTGGAAGGTGCTTAAAGGTGAAGTCCTCAAATTTATGCAAGAGTTTCATGTTAGTGGCAGATTAATCCCAGGTTTCAGTAGCTCATTCATTACTTTTGTTCCAAAGAAGAAGAAAGCTTTAACACTAAATGAATTCAGACCTATTAGTCTGATTGGTTCCCATCTACAAAATTCTATCTAAAGTCCTAACAAATAGATTGAAGTTAGTTATGTCTTTGATAATTGGTGATTCACAATCTGCTTTTCTGAGAGGTAGAATCATCTTGGATGGTGTTTTGATTGCAAATGAAGTTGTGGATAGCTGGGTCAAATCCAAGAAAGTTGGGATGCTCTTTAAAATAGCTTTTGAGAAGGCTTTTGACTCCATCAACTGGAATTTCCTTTTTTCAATGTTAGCAAATTTTGGGTTTGGCGAAAAATGGATCTCTTGGATTCAAGAGTGTGTCTCTACTGCTAGAATTTCAATCCTTGTCAATGGATCTCCAACCAAGGAGTTTAACCCCCAAAAAGGGCTCATGTAAAGTGGCCCCTTATCACCATTCCTATTCAATTTGGTCGTTGAGGCATTAAATATTCTTCTTCAGAGAGCTATGGATCTGAGATTGCTTAAAGGGGTATCTGTTGGGGCCAATGATGAGGTGCAATTGTCTCATCTTCAATTCGCAAACGATTCCCTTTTGTTCTGTGAAGTTGAGCTAACAGAGGTGCTAAATTTGAAAAGAATTCTTAGATGCTTTGAACTGGCTTCAGGTCTTAAAATTAATTACCATAAAAGTGTGGTTTGTGGGATTGGGATCCCCGGATCTGCCCTTGTTGAGTTTGCTTTCCTCTTGAACTGCAAGACCCAAAATTTACCAATCAAGTATCTAGGTCTACCCTTAGGTGCAAATCCTAGAAGGAAGAAAACGTGGAAACCAGTAGTTGAAAAGGTAAAACTAAGGCTAGCTGGTTGGAAAAGGAAGCTATTATCTTATGCAGGTAGATTAACCTTGGTGAAAGCAGTGTTATCAAGTATACCTGTGTACTACTTACCATTATTCAAGCTACCTGAGGGAATTGCCAAGGATTTAGACAAAATTCAAGCCTCATTCTTATGGGGAGGGCCAGATCTGAAGCGCAAAATCCATTTAGTGAAATGGTCAGAGGTTACTAAGAGTATAAAGCAAGGTGGTTTGGGAGTTAGAAGAATCAGAGATGTGAATGTGTAACAACCCCGACCTCTGATTAATGTTAATCCATGATTAATTATGCCTAACTAGCAATTAAGGTGAAATTCTGAATTAAACCGCATGTGTGTGTTGCATTGTTTGTGTCTATATCTGTTAGGCGTAGAAAGATCTGTTCATGTTTTAGTTTCGATTTGCGAACTGAAAGCCTTATCGGCATTCGAACCATAAATTGACTTGATTTACGTGCTGATTAGGATTTATAGAATTTTATGGTAAGTTTAATTGAAATTTGATTTGGAACAATTAAATTAGAATAAATGAGGTTAAATTACATTAGTTGAGTTTATTTCATTCTTGCCATTAGTGGGCTACTTTCAAAAGTTGTGTTTGAGGCTTAATTTATACACTTTGATTCACCACTCTTCTCTATCCACAAGACCAAACCGAGAGAGAGAGAGGGAGAGTAGGAGAAAAGTTTTGATTCAACAAGAGTTGGCTTTGGAAGTTAGAAGAATTGATGAGAACTTGCAAAATTGGGTTGGCATACTTGGAATTCAAGATTTAAGGTAGGAAATTCATTCTTTTAATTGTGAATTTAGGTTGTTCATGCATGAATTCAAGTAAATTGAGCTATAGGATGTGAGAATCAAGCTTAAGGAGTAGGGAAGTAGATCAATCCATGCATGCATGCATGCATGTTTCATAGCAATTTGAAGATTGATTTTCAAGAATCCCTTCATGCATGTGTTGAGTTCACTCTAATTTTGGAAACACAATGAATTTCATGTTATTTAGTAGCAATTGATCATGTTTTGGAGGGCCTTAGCTCAAAAATGTACATGCATGTTGTGTTCATGAATTAATTTTGAGTTTAAGTTGAGTTGTGCATAATTGGCATGCTTTTGGGCCATGATTTCTTGAAATGATCCTTTAAACATGTTGTTTTATGAGTCTCTAAGTGCTTTCCAAAGTTTTGGGCCTAGAAAATTGAGTTTGATGCATTTGGGGTTGAATTTGAGCTTGGTGATCAAATCTGGAATTTTTAAAAATTTGATCCACGCTTGAGCGTGGAACTTTACGCTCGAGCGTGCACTCTGAGTACATGCACTTCCGCTTGAGTGTCGAGGGTTACGCTCGAGCGTGAAATACATATACCCAGAAGTTTATGTGTTTTGTAGTTCGCTCGAGCGAGGGAATTCATGCTCGAGCGGGGTTCTGAGTCTCACGCTTGAGCGGAGGTCGAGCATCCGTCGAGCGTAAAAATCATGCATCCAGTACTTTTTCAAAAGTTTGAATTTTGCTCGAGCGGGAAAAGTCACACTCGAGCAGAGCTTCAATGTCTGCATGTTCGCTCAAGCGGGGAAAGCCACGCTCGAGCGTGGACCCTATTTTCAGCAAGTTTTAAGAAATGTTTTCCAATGCATTCTTGCATCCTCATTCCATCGTAGGCATTCCTAGGCCATGTTTAAGACTCCATAATGAGGATTAAGAGTTAGAAACACACTAAGAGCCAACGAAGTAAGTTATGTACAATTAGAACGTGTGTTTCAAGTGTGTGTCTGTTATGTGTTATGTAGGTCGCGTGCCGCGTACTGTTTGACCAATCTGCTTCGTCTATCTATCTCAAGGCCAACTGTGAGTAATAACATGGTAAAGCTACGTTCAACTTTACTTATTTTCTGTGAGATGAATTAAGATCTATTTTCTGAAATGATATATTCTGTATAATGAATGATTGTCCAATTTCTGATATGTATTTGTGACATCCTTAGCATCATGTGATATCTATTGGCTGTTACCCGGTATCGGAGGTTCCATCATGGAACTTAATCTGTCTACACTCTGTTACTCGTACCGGAGGCCCCATCATGGGGCTCAGCGTGTTTATTCTCTATTACCCGGATCCGGAGGTTCCTTTATGGAACTGGTTATTCATAACCCTCACGTGTCTGCATCTGTTCTGTATCTGCTCTATTAATGCTAATGGATGTATCACGTATGCTTAAGCTTACCTTATGATTTCTGTATATGATCTGGACAAATTACGAATTTGATACGAAACTGAATTATGATTTCTGAATCTGTACGGACTCATTCATTGAAACCCCTTTACTCTATTATTGTTCACTGAGCTTTCGTTCACAGTTTATATTATGTATGTAGGTGAGCCAACGTGCGATCAGGGCCAGAGTTGACGGCCTCCATCTCTGTTTTTGTCAGCCAACCGTTGTGCCTCCTGAGGAGGTTCCGATCGAAGTCTAGTTACATGACTATTTTTGTACTTATGTTAGTCTCTGTCTGTTTTGTAAAGTCAGGTCCTGGGAATTACACTTTTGTATATGTTTGTAAATATTGATGTCCTTCGATCGACATGCTTATGTATATGCAAGTTTTGAAATCTTCTGGCCCATGTATGTCACAGCTCATTGGACCTTGTCTATTTTGTATAATTGCTTCCGCAGTCCCTTATTATGTGTTTATCTGTTCAGAGTCCTTTGGTAATCCACAGATTGCTAGCCGGTTACGATGCTAAACCTACAGGGGCGAGTTTGGGTCGTGATAGAATTTATGGCAAAGATGCATTTCAAGTCTACTTCTAAGTTGAACTAGGGCTGAACTAAAGATAAATACTATTGGGTTATATACTAAGTTGTGTTGAATGTTGGATTGATTGGGGATTTGCTCCATCTTCATTTCTTGTATTTATAGATGCTGAAACTTTTTGAAAATCACAAACTACCTCCTAGAAATCATCAACAACTTCTTGAAAATCTCCATAAAATCTTGAAAGTGGGGTGCTGGACAGCCTCCTGAGTTGACACCTGTTCCAATAGCCTTTTTCTTCCATTCAAGTGGTTGGTTTGTTCTTCAAAGATAAGACTGACCAGATCCTCTTGAAAACATGAGCCGTTGGATGATGGCTGGGGATCTTTGATGGGTGACAAGTGTCATTGTGGTAAAAAATATTCCATAAAAATAGTTACTATTGGAAAAGTTTGAATTCCAATCATTGGATGAAGAGTTAGTGGTTATCCTTCAATCTTTGATGAGTGACACGTGTCCCACTTCTACATTCATCCATCACATGTACATATATATATATTTAATATCTAAATATTAAATATCCAAGATATAGATACACAGGTACTATCCCCTAGGTTGTAGGGATTGAGTCAAATCATGGGAGTTAATCCCCATGATTGTCCTTTATCTCCAAAATCAAAGCATCATTTGCCACCATTTAAACATGCCAAGGTCACCCACTTTGCATCACCACATGCACACGTGGCACCATTCCATTGGGCTGTCATTTTTGGTACAAACATTGCCCTCATCAAGTTTTATTCTTGAGCAAAGGACGAGGCTTTATTTGATTGCCATTTCTAGAATCCTCCTGATAGGCGAACCTTCAAAGGTGAAAGTCAACAAGTACTCTTGCATTCTTATTTGCCCTTCCAGATTAGCTGTTGCAGACGTATCAAACCTTTTGGATACCTTCTAGAGACTTTACAAATCTTTTGCAGACTTTATAGGCCTTCTGAGATCTTCTAGAGACTTTACAGGCTTTTATTGAGTTCTTCTAAATCCTTATCGGACATTCTAAGTTAGTTCTTGTAGACTTGATAGACCTTCATCAAGATCCACTAAACTACACTCTGCAGATCTTACAAGGCTTCTTTAAGACCTCCTGAATTATGAACGCCTCTCAAGTATAAACCAAGATTTTAGACCTCCTGAACAAAGCTCAGACAATCATGAACCAGTATCTGAACTCTTCTGTTTTGACTTCCTTTCTTTCTACCAAACTTGAGTGAGTTTCTTACAAGAGAATGTTGAAGTGGATAGTTAGTTCCCCTATATGAAACTTCCGACATTCTATAAATGAAGCTTGTCGATTAGTGTACTAGAAGGCCTGAAATGTTACTCAGACTTGAACTACCATTAGGCCTTCTCAGACATTCTGAAAGGCCAAAAACTCCCATGTGAGAGGCTTGCTACACCTTAAGGCCTGCTTTTTGGGGCTTGAAAGCCTGAAGTACTTGTTAGGCTTGGGTGATGTTGGGTCTTCTGAGATATTTTGAAAGGCCAAAACTTTTGATTTGACTCTTCAAACATGAGATAACTTACAATTTTTCTTCAAAAAACCAAATTTATTATTGGTCGAACTTTCTTACTTGATTTATACTCTTTGCTTCCCTCAGCACCTCCTTTGAACTTTTTAACGAATCACTTTGAGGAATAAAGATGTTTATTTGGCCTATGAAATATTCTATGTCACTTGAGATTCTTGCAATCACCTTCTTATTCTCCTGTAAGCCATGTGAATAGTACTCTCTTCTGATGTGCCCTACAAACCCAATATGGATGCTAGTTTTCACGTACTAAGCCAAGAGTTTCCATACACATGTAATGTTTTTTGGCTTTTTGAGAAATGTTGAAAAGGTCTTCATCCAATAAAGGATGAGGAAAAGGTTGTTCATCACCTTCTATGATATAAGAAGAAAATTTATGTCCCCCCCCCAATCAAAATATCATCAATTTCTCCAACATCATTTTGCCCACATTGTGCAGTTTTTAGAGAAAAAAATTTATTTTGGCTTACCTCAAGCTTGACTTTTGACTTGATTTTAGAGTTGACTAGAGGCTCATTCTCTTTCTTATTTGTATGACGACTTGATTTTAGAGTTGACTAGAGGCTCATTCTCTTTCTTATTTGTATGACAAGGATCTTTGGCAAGGTCGTTTCCACCTTCTAACGATCTATGACGAGGATGCCCCCCGTGCTCTACTCCTTGCCCTCCTAGGATTGGGCCATCGAATGATGAAGCCTGATAGAATCCCACGGGAGTTGTAGAAAGAGAAACTGGTGGATGCTGATAAAAGTGGTGTTGGGAAAACTGATTATGCCTTCCTAGGTTAACCATAGAAGGATTGAACAACGGATTATACTGTCAAATTGGCTAACCTTGGATATTATTGATGGGTCATTGCTCACTTGCCTATCTATTAGCAAAGCCAAATCTTCCTTCTAGTGCTCTTATAGGAGGATGTCTCCCTGAGTCTGAATGAAGACCTCTTGGAATAGGAGTTCTAGACAAGGATTCTTGATAGACCTTAGGAGATTGTTAATGAGAAGTGACTGGTGCATTGAGCAAAATTCCTTCTGGATGTAGTCCCATTGCTCTGCTCCAACTTGTGGAATAGCCAATTGTAAAAACGACGGCCTCCTTTCTTCAAATATTGCCATATTCTCATTGAAGACCCTTATAAGCTCCTTCAAGAGTGCAGTAACAGAACAAGTAATCTCCTGACTTTCTCAGAATAACCCTTTATGCCTTTTGTTGTATGGTGTAACTCCTGAGAGAACTCATGTTGCACAAAAGAAGGTTGTTGTGACTATAAACTAGAAATGTCTAATGCATTAGCAGGAGGTTGGACAAAAAGATGTTGCCCCCTGAGACTAGCTATAGGAGGATTGTAGAATAAATTAAGAGGATCCCGTGTTGGTGTGACAAAATCTTCTGTGATAGTCCTCTGAACTCCTAATTGTTGGACAAGAGGATCAACCCTTCTCTCTGGGGTCTTCTGAACAAGATGCCTCCCCCCCCCCCCTCCCAAAAAAAAAAATGTTTACAATTGTCCTCCTAGAGCAAGAGTGGTAGACGATGAACCCTAACCATTTGCATGAGGAGTGGAATGTCGATCGTTGGACTTCTAGGCACGGTGCCTTCTGGTTGTTGTCCAATGATTCTGTAATGCCTCAAAATAAATAATATAAGAAAACTCAACATATTTTAACAACATGATCTTGTTTCCAACTTCATAACTTCCATTGCATAAATGTATATGAGTTATAATGCCTTATCATTAACATCACCATCAAATCTCTAACATTTGTATTCATTATACTCTAGAGATTAACAAAAGTATTCCACGTGTAATTATACATTCAACATTTTCTAGAATATGAATCTATAGCATGTGACACATCAAGTTGAATACAATTTAATGCCCTCATGAACTACAAGTTTCAAGGCTTATGCCCGATTACACAAAATAGTTTTTGAAACCCATACATGTAAAGCCCTCGACTTGTCAAAAATAACAACAAAAGAAAAAGAGCCTTGTACTCTCAAAATACACTCCACTCCTTTAACTCAGCGGAATCACCACATCTTTTCTTGCATAAAATCCACTAGGGTGAGCACAAAGCCCAGTAGGGAGATCTTGACAAAATATGTACATTTTATACAACCTCCTGAGATAAATGCATATGTCATTTCATACTCAAAATATATTTCTCTATCTTTTGGAAATCTTGTGCGTGATGGAAATTTGAAAACACAACAATTCAATAACTTCAATACAATTCAAGGAGTGGTAAATATGACTCAGGTAATTTATAGGTTGGGGTCTTCAAGTAGGCATGTTAAGCACTACCAATCGCCACTTTACCGATTTTTAACCGGACGACATGTTGTACCTTCTTTGCACGTGTTTTCAGTCTTTCACCATGGGCACTCAGGCAAACTTAACCAATACCAAACTACACCTCCTATCTGGACTTACCATGTATTTACCCCAAAACAATTCAAGATGATCTTGTTTCACAAAATAATTCCTTTCTCAAAGCAAAAATTTTCAAATGCAAAATTCGAAATCAATGATAATGAATATGAAATGGAATGACAATGCAACATATAACAATGAATTATAATAGTTTCATTTTCAATTCCACCACTACAAGAAATTGCACTTTTGGCGACTACTTTTGGTGACAACGTCAATTTTTCGTAGCCAAAAGTATATTTTTGGCGACACAGTGATCAATTTTGTTGGGAAAAGTAGACCTTTACCAACGCAATTTACTATCGTTGCTAAAAAAACATAACATTGACTAGGCGCCAAAAATATTGGTTGGCCCCAAAATTTCATAAATTTTAGCTACAAGTGTTATTTTTTTAACAACACAATGAGCGTTGCTATTAGTATGCTTATTGCTGGCGACGACAAGCTGGCGTGGGCAAAGGGTTAAACATTTAGCGACGATAACACTATTCGTTGGTAAAAGTTTAGTTAGTAAAACGAGGTGATTTAGTAATTTGTGTTTTATTATAACTTTTGAAAGTTTTAAATATTCTAGTTATTGAATTGTAAAATTAAAGTGATCATTGAAGTAGATCACAAAATGAACTCATCAAGTCCAAACACACTCTTAAGTTCAGAATGCTAATTTGAGATAATTTAAACTCTTCCAAATAATGTGGTTAGATTATCAATTTCAATATGTTTGGTTTTATTTTCAGAAACTAGTTTAAAAATTTATTTTTTAAAAAAAAACTAAAGAAAAATTGGGTGAAAAATTAAAAAATACTTATTATTTTTGTATAATTTTATCTTTTTGGTCATAAATAATTTTTAAAATTCTAAAAAGATATTTTCGATTTATATTGCTCTCAAATTAATTTTAATTTTTTCAAAAAAACAAATCTAAAAATTATTTTGGGTTTTTTTTTTGTTTGGTTTTTTGGTGATCTGCCTCTAAGGCGGTGAAATTTTCCTCTCAAAATTCCCTATTTTCTTTCCAGGATAGGTAAATCCCCTCATCAGATCCCCCCTCATCAATCTCCACGATTTTCACTCTTGCACACCCTTCTCTCACAATTCATAGGAAAGAGAGAATGATCGCGAATGGAATCGAAGACGAGGACAATTGGTTGACCGAAGGCATCGCAAGGATTCAACACAATTGCTTTCTATATGCATCGCGCACTGGTAATTCATGAGACCTATCAGTCAATATTTCTTCAATCAATTCTTTCATATTCAAAACCCTAATTCTCCGATTCGTGTGTTCATTAGGACTCCAACAATCTCAGAGAAGCCCTATAATATTCGGTGCAAATGTTGTCTGAGCTCTGAACATCTAGACTATCTCCACAAAAGCACTTTGAGCTCTGTATATATAGCCTTTAATCATCGTCGACGATTGATTTTTTTTTTTTGTTTTCTATATCGAAATTCAATTGATTATTTGTTTACTATTGTGATGTGCCAGATATGTAAGCCTTTGATGAATTGAGAAGACTTGAAATCTTCTTTAAAGAGGAAGATAAACATGGTTGTACGGTCTCTGACCTCTATGAACTCGTCCAGCATGCTGGAAACATTTTACCCAGATTGTAAGTTGGAATCACTTGTGATTTGGTCCTTCAATTCTATTGTTTTGTTTCTACTAATCACAATATTCATGCATTTCTTGTAGAATTTATGTAACTCCTAAAATATTATCTAGTTCTTATTCTGCCCAATTTATGGAATTCATTTGCTTTTTGGGGAAATCCAAAAAAAAAAAAAATTGAAAAAAAGAAAAAAACCGAAGGTTTGACTCTGGTGACAAAATCAAAATAAACATTGAATTTTTAATTTTATCAATTTAAACCATAATATTTTGATTTATTTTTAGTCTAAATCATCCACCTATTTTAGTCATTAAACTCAATGTAGGTGTACATAAAATATTTAAAATGTCATTTTTTTGTTGAGTTTGATGATTAAAATACCAATTTTCCATCAATGTTATTTAACAAAAACAGGCAAATCAAATTTCATAGGAAAGTGAGGCAATTGAAAAACAAGGAAAAATTACATATTCTGTTTTTTGTTTTCTGCCATGCCAGTCTGTGAGGGGTAATAAAGCCATGGTAAACAAGAAATAGCTTGAAATGAAATTAGAATATTGTAGCATTGTTTTGGAGATCACAAGGTCATGACATCGATGAACAAATACCCTATCCTAGGATGTTCTAATCAAATTTCATGGTTCAATTTCTAGCATAACTTCTAAGCACAAATTTTTCGAACTTGTACTTGCTTAAATGCATTAATGTGCTTCTTTCTTGTGCTTTAGCTACATTGCTTTCAGGCATTCACTAAAATTAAAAGATCTATAGATCAGAAAAATAAATTAGAAGCAGAAAACCAAGGGCTGCTTCTGAATTTTGGTTCACAGCTTGATTAGAGCTTAAAAGACTTGCACAAGACCATCTTGGGGTCAGTTTGTCAACAGCAGCAACAATTGAGATGCATGGAGGAACACGTCTCTTCATTTCTTGCTAGTAAATATGACGTATGAACTGAAAGCTGATGTCTCTTTCATATGTTAAACTTGTCAGTTAATTTTGTTAATCTTACATCGTTTTCTCTCAGGCCACTCAGATACTGGAATCTAGGATCTGTGAGCCCGAGATTGCTGTAAGCTCAGTCAAGAGCGCAGGATCTGTGAGCCCGAGATTGTAACAGAAAAAGCTTGAGTTGGAGAAGTGATCTCGCCCGCCCACCTCTCCTGATTCCAGCAAGTCAAGATGGCAACCCAACAAGCAACAACCAGAGTCGAGTTCCCCAGGTGGGAAATGTAGACCAAAATCTACAAACTTATAGCAAATTGACGACCAATCCAGTGAGATCAGCTGTGAAACAAGGAATTCAAGTTACCTAGAAGACGATATTTCTATGAGATCAAATGGAAACATTGTCTCAGACTCAGGGATAGACACAGAAGTCACTAGTTTGGAACGCTATGCTGAGACCAATGGAAGCCAGAGTTCTTCCATGAAAGCTGCCAAGTACTCAGTTTCTGGCATAGACTGCAAATCTAAAGGACAAAATAAAACAACTCAAGGTAAAATTGCAACTTAATGTAGTATATTAACAAAGGTGGACAATCTTTTTGTCACTAGCTCCATCATTTTTAAATTCATTCAAAATATGATTGTATATGTTTAGCCCTCGTGAAATTATTTGCTTGATATATTAATCACGACAACATCTGCAGAAATGTAATGCTATGTAATGCACTGTAATGACAATGAGAGATTTTTTTTCATAACCAGGGCAGATAAAGTTGAAGGAAGCTGCACTCGAAACCTCGACAAATTCATTTTTAGAGAAGGAGAAAGATCTTGAGGATAAAATTGAAGAGTTAGAAAGAAGATTGGAAGAACTCAGTCAAAATAGTGCTAGTTTTTATGAATATCAATTCCAAAAGGTTAGTATCTTTGCAGTTCATATGATGAAATCATGCATATGTTTCTGCAATGCCTTTCATTAACTGTTATATGCAAATCATTTATGGCATTAGTTAAAAACTCTTAATCTCATTATTAGCATAAAGACAACATTTTTACTTTTCTATGTTAATTTCCTCTTGATTTTGTTGTTTGGTGAAGCACCTTTGGGATATGCCCAGTAGAGTTCAACAAGATAGAGAGCTCTTTCAAGTTAAATCAACTCAACAAAGCTCTTTCTTACTATTTTCAATTTTAGTTAAATGAACTTATTTCACAATCTGCTCTATCCACAGCAATAGGTACATGCTTTTGGATAAAATTATACACTATAATAGTTTTACCTTTTGAGATTTGCTGCAATTTCTCAAAAACTTTGCTTGTAGATGAAGAAAAACTTTGGTGCTTTTGTGTGTTCCAAGTACTTGGTTTGAATAACATGAACATTTTATAAAACACTTGAGTCAAAGGTCATCACCATAATAAAAAAATAAAAAAATAAAAAGACAACTTAGTGCTCAAGAGACTCTCATTAAAATGTACGCAGTCTTATCCTCATTTTTGAAGAGGTTGTTTGTGTGATTCGAATCCACCACACTAAGATACTAATGACTAGCCTTACTGTTGAGCCAAGTTGTGATTTAAATGTCATTCTCATCTAATCATAAAGTTGGAATATATGGTAGTTCATGGTATTATTATATAGGAAATGCTGTTATAAAACTGGTCATATATGACCAACCAAATTTAAGTTGTGTGTTTGGGTGTGAACATAATTTATTCGGATCTGAGTACATTCAAAGTATCCTATCTAAGTACCTATTTAATATTTGGATCTAGAAAAAATAAGAGAAGATGAGGAAAGGATTTTGGGGCCTTTTTTTTTGGGTGGTAAATAGGGTGCATGAAATTAAATATAGAAAAAAGGGTTTTGCATTATTATGAAGTATTATAATGTTTGAAACTTCTTACTCCAAGAAAAAGAAATATTAAATCTCTATTGGTTCAACTATTTGATTTTCTTTGATTTGATTACTTAACTAGAGGATACCAAGGTAGCTAAATGGGGGATACCAAGGGGTTCTTGTTGCTAGGTCTTGAACTGTGTTTGGTAATAGGTTACTGTGAAATCTAAATCTAGAGAAGAAATCAATTTCATTATTGCTTTGTTTGGTTGCTGAGAATAGGTGGGAAAAGAACCTATTTAAGTTTGGAGTGCATTAATAGAATGCCTATCAGGTATTTTTTTGTTTTTTGGGAAATACTTTTTATTTCAGGTAAAAAGCAATGCTAAAAACAATCAAAGCCCTTCAAAAATTAAAAAGATATTAAAGCATTTATGGCAGTAAAAAGAAAATGATACTCTGACAATAACAATCATATAATTGAAAATCTTTCATGATGCTTGGCATTGTTGTGAGGTGTTTCATATTTTTAGTGTACACTCAAATATACTGTAATTGCAAGCACTCAGCTTCTCTCCCATGCTGTGACCATAGTCTAAGTTAGAGAGGAGGCAGACCCTTTTTCCAAACACTCGACTTCTCTCTAGTCGACTGGAGTCCAATTGTGAGAGGAGTAGGACCATTTGCCAAAACCCAAAAGCACGTAACATCAAAGCTGTTAGACGTGCACCCATGTCTTTTTTTATTATGGAATCTAATTGTTAGCATCTATCAGAACATCATTTTTTTTGGTATGGGAAGTGCCTTTTATTTTTGTTCTGTTTCTATTCCAACTCAGCATGATAGCTAATAAATTCATTGAATAGTTCTTTTGAACTTAATTTTATAGATGTTACAAATTAAAAATACGTTAGTGTTTATTTCAAAAATTGGTTTACTGCACAAGTTAATTTAAATATGCTAGGATATAGTGACTATTATTATATAAACTTGACATGATCGAAGGAACTGAAGCTCTATCACTTTAATCTGGGTATTGAAAAGCAAAGCACAAGTGTATAGTCATCTGGCTATCCAAGGAAACTAATTAAGGATGTGAACAAATCTTGTGTGTTTTTTCTGTAATTTTGTAGAGAGAAGCAAACTTCGCTAAATTACGTAAGGTTGTGTTTGGATCAAGGCTTTGAAGAGGGATTTGCAGAGAGTGAGAGAGATTAAAAAAAAAAAAAAGTATGGAAAAAATGAATGAAATAGAAGCTACATTTTTATCACATTTCCCTTTCCTTTTCCCTCCACAAATCCCACCCCAAATCCTAGATCCAGACCTTGTCCCATAAAGTTTGCCTCATAGGAAAAATCAAACCTCTATTGTAATTTGAATATCTGTTTTATTTTCGTTACACTTGAATATCTTCATACGTGGCTCTATACAAGATTTAAACTTCTGATAGAATGCACAACTAATTAAAGCATTTGAAAACAAGTCAAATTACATTACAGATGGATACAATTTTTTTTTTTATTTAAAAAAGAAGCAAAGTAGTTCTAGCACCCTGAGTATTGCATAGCTTCGGACTAAAGTTGCAAGTTATTCATTACATTTGAGTGCATTTAGTAGTTCTGCAAAGTAATTTTGTCTTCCTTTGAATTTGCAGTACAAATATGGTCAATTACTCTAGGTAGCAGTGGGAAAAGGCAGAGTTATCTGTCAACCATCTCAACAAGACTAGTATTGCAGAGATTGAATCTACTGTAAAGTAAGTCTTCCATTCCCTCGTTTTTCAGATTTTCTAGTAACCTTTTATTTATTTTATTTTTTAAAATGTTTTTGGTTTTCTTATCATGTTCTTTCTCTCCCTGAACAGGGCAAAAATTTGTGCGAGCCATGGTGTATATGAAGAATTTGTCTCTAGATCCTCATCCATTAATGCAGAATACGAAGTTAAAGCCTGTGACACATCGGCAGCTGTGAAGGTTAATTAAATCCCTATATATGAAATTTTAATTTTTTTTCCCTCTATTTATCAAACAATGAACTCAAGTGGGAAATATTATGAACTTGCAAATTCACTGATGCTGGACCAGGAAACCAAGGAAGAGATAGACTCCATGTCTATCTTGTGCTTGAATCAGCTTAAGCGTGTCAGTTAGAATCATACTGAAAGCATAACAAATATCAGAAACCAAGCGGAGCAGTGTCTGAGACAAGATTATTTGGTAGGCTTGCTTGCTTGCTTGATATATCTTTCTTAATGTTAGAATAAGATTATCAGGAAAATATTCTTATGTCTCGGGGTGTTAAAAAGTAGCTAGACATTACTTAATTTTATTCTAGGATTTTTAAGAAAATGGTTTTTAGGCTAAGAAGCACGAACATGCAATTTTCAAAAAATGCTTGCATAATTTTATATATTTATTATATGTCGTATATTTGAATATTATACATCAATTAGGCACATCAATTGGGACTGTATATACTGGATTGATGAGACCTAAAAAAGTTTCATGTTTTGACAAATCTTGAACTTGCCTTGCCCCTTTTAAAACCTTGAGCTACATTACATTACACTCTTGAAATCACTGGACTGATGAAAGCACACGAAGACCAAAATTGGTAGTTAGATTGTTCCAACTGCGTTTATTTATTTATTTATTTTTCTTGGGAACAGAGAGTTTATTAAATAGTGCAATTTTGCACAGGTTGATCAGCATACTAGTACAACTCCGAAGTTGAAGATAATAGCAGTGCTTAGCTTGGCATCCATCGAGGAGATGAGAACGCCTGCAGTTGGAGATCTTATGGCGAATTTTACCGGACCAAATTTGGGCTGTACTGAAAGCAAGATTCAACAACATCAACAAGGGCTGTGTCTCGGAGCATCACCTAATAATAGAACTCTTTTTGCATATGTTAATCTCTTAATGAGCTCCTTGATAAGAATATTTAGACAAATGGAAAACTAGCTTCATCTATTGTATATTGTTGGATGAGTCTTAAAGTCAACTGGTGCAAACACACACATATTCATCAACTGATGAGTTATAAAGTTTGCCAATTCTGAAAGCTGAGGTTGGCTTTATGTTATTTCAAATTGTATCTTATAAACTATTGTGTCTGAGAGATTCCTTTTGTAAATCTGTAAATCTGTAAATCTTATAAAAAATATAAATGATTTTAATTATTTTTATCGATGCAAATTTATCGTTGTCAAAAAGTAAAGCTTTCTCGACAAACAATTTTTCGGTAAATGTGTCGCTAAAAGTTACTTTTGCCCACTCATATTGTGTTGGTAGAAGTGTATTTTTTGCCAATACCAATTTGTCGTTGCCAAAAATAAAGCTTTAGCGATAAACAAATCATCGGCAAATGGCAACATTTACCGGCGTATATGTGTCGCCAAAAGTTTACTTTTGTCGACGCATATGTTGTTGGTAAAAGTATATTTTTTGCCCATGCAAATTTGTGTCGCGAAAAGTGCCACACAATCATCATATTTGAATGACTTTTACCAACGCAAGGTAAATTGCCGACGATGGATGAAGGCTTTTATCGACGACTATGTTCGTCGCTAAAGGCATTACTTGTACCAACGCAATGATAATTTCGTCGGCAAAAATTTTTGCCAACTCACTTTTGCCTACGGGTTGCCAACGTAGCTTTGTGTGTTGGCAAAACTCTTTGCCAACGAATTTTCCCTTTTAGCAACATATTTTGTTGCGTTGCGAAAAATGCAATTTCTTGTAGTGCACCACACAATCTTTCATTGTGATCAAATTCCCACATTCCTTCTCAATGTAACATCATAATAGATCTTCCGAGAGATAAATAACAATATCATCATACTTGCATTCTCTACATATTAATCATCATTTTCAAAGTTGATCTTTCCAAGATAAACCAACAATAAGCTATTCATCAAGATTCAAAATCAAACATTTCTAATTTTTTTATGGAATCCCTCATTAGATACAATTATAGAAATCCCTTCGTCAATTATTCACCATAATAATTTATCAAGCATAATTTCATAATAACTCAACATTTTTCCCAAAATCCCCAAATTTTTAGTGTTTCCACCAAAAACTAGATTTTCCCCATTTTTGAAGGATTTTTCCAAGACAATACTCACACTTAACAACATAGCTCATACTCTCAAAGTTTGGGGAAAATATAAAGACAATCCACCTTTAAAACCATCTAGAGTTCAAGAACCCAAAATCATAATTCAAATGTAAGAGAAAGGTTCTAAACAAGTATAGACTTGCAAATATATATATATATATATATAAGAATATCCCTATCTCAAGCTTGGGAGAGGAAGGAGAGAAGAACCCTAAAATCCAACGTTGATGAAAACTTGATTCAATCGGTGAAAATGTAGCCCTTGTTGGCCTCTTCCATTTGGAGCAAAAAGTCCTATCAAAATCTTGATAGTTTTTTCTAAATCTTAGAGAGAAGTTTGGGTTTGGGTGGGTTTGTAGTGATGGAGGAGAAAAGACGAATATATATATAGAGAGAGATAGATATGAAAAAGTGTGTAAAACATGTTTTTGACATCAGATTTGAGAAAAATAGCTCAAAATTCGAGATAGACACGTCAAAAACTGCATGACCAGAATTCCAAATCCGTAACACATAAATTTAACCAAATTCGCATGAGCGGTTTTCCGCCTAGAATTTCCCCAAAATCCATGAGTGATTTACCTCGAGCAGTTACCAAATCTGCACTAGCGGTTTTGCCAGCCAAAGCCAAAAATTTTGATTCCACACCCCGATACAAGTTCCAATGCCCAAAACTCAAAATTTCAACCTAGAAACGTTAAGTGAGGTTAATTAAGAGCAAAAATGAAATCTCAACGATTCAATACGACAATCAAAACGCCGAAAGTAAAACAAACCACCTGACTACACAATACCGGTCAAGTCTAGGACTCAGGACATCACAGATTCCAAATTGTGGAGCAGCAGACTGATCAAGTAGTTGCATTATGTCTCCAAACATGGCCGACATCTTGTTAATGTTCCTTGTAAGCTCCTATTGGGACTCCTTCATCTTATTAAAGGATTGCAAGATCTCCCGGGAAAGTTCTTGATTTCCTCTAATGAGACAGTTTATGAATTTTTCCGTGTCACTTTGCAACTCCTGAGAAAAGCATGTTGTGCCATAGAAACGTGATGTATAGTCGAGGTAGAACTATTTGATGATACCTCACCAAGTTGCTGTCCTCCTATGAGATTCTTTCCTCTACTTCTTCTTAACATTTTCCCTTAGTAACTCCATAGGTCCCACTAACCATGCCAAAAGATGTTTGTGCAAAAATTACAAAAATATACTTTTTGACTAAAACACAAGTTTTGGCTAGAACCAACAGGTTTTGCGGGATTTGCAGGCGTGCTAAGGCAATAGTGCCTAAGTTGATGAAAATGTACCTGGAAAAAAAAATGCCCTTTGAAAACAAGAGGTTGTGCGAGGCTTAGAGGGATAAAATAGCCCCTGATTCTTGTTTTGCCTCAATTAAGAGGACTTAAAATCTCTATAGAGATTTTAATGTAAAAAAGAGAGATAAGTAAAGGGAACTGAACATTAAAACACATATTTTTATAAATTCATTGGATTGAATATATAAAATTGTGAAAACAAGTTTAAAAACATGAAATTGAGTTACAAAATGGATGTAAACACAATCTAAGTCTCAAAACAATGCCCATGAAGGCCAAAAACCCATTAATATGACACGGATGTCATAGAAACTAAGAAACTAAAGCTAAATCTATGGTAAAGATACCTTTCAAGTCTGTTCCTAAGTTGAACTAGGGCTAAACTAAGAATAAATAGTATTGGCCTATATAGCTGTGTTGAATGTTGGATTGATTGAGGGTTTGCTTCATTTTCATTTCCTATATTTTTAGATGCTGAAGTCTTCTAAAAATAACGAATTGCCTCTTGGAAATTATCAACAACTTCTTGAAAATCTCTATAAAATCTTGAAAATGGGGTGTTGGATAGCCTCTTGAATTGATACCTATACCAACAACCTTCTTATTCCATTCAAGTGGTTAGTTTATTCCTGAAAGATAGGGCTAACCAGATTTTCCTAAAAACATAAGTCGTTGGATGGTGGGCCGGGGTCTTCGATGGTCAAATATCCCATAAAAATAGTAACTGTTGAAAAAGTTTGAATTACAACCATTGGATGGAGAGTTAGTGGCTATCCTTCTATCTTTGATGAGTGCCACGTGTCCCACTTTTACATTCATCCATCACATATACATATATATATATATATATAAGTAGCATTTTTTTTTTTATTTGGGTGGCACATTTTAAAAGTTTATTTTTTCTAAAAAATTCACATTATGGAGTCCACTTTTAGGCCCAATTTTGATAATCTGAACCGTTCATATTTTATGATTTATTCAGTATATCATACCTGTAAAAAATTAAATTGATCGGATATCAGAAAGTATGTGTTCGAAAAATTGAACTAAAAACAATTTTTTAAAAAATTTAATAAACAGTTTTCCGAACATATGCTTTCTGATATTCGATCAACTTGATTTTTTACAGGTATGATATACTGAATAAATCATAAAATATGAACAGTTCGAATTATTAAAATTGGGCCTAAAAATAAACTCGAAGGCTTACAAGGACAAATATAAATACGAAACTGTAAGGAGAGAACCTTCGCTCCTCTCCCTCTCTGCTCCCTGCAAGGACAGTTAGCTGAAAGATATTAAAGTGAGACAGATATTAATGCAGAATTAGTTTTTGTTTGACCGTTAGGAACTATACAGTGCCTCTACATTATTAAAAAAAAATATTTATGTATCTTATTTTTCAAATGATGGGAAATGAATGGGCAGCCCATTCAGATATTTTTAATTATTTTGAGTGGAGACATATTTGGTTGCGAGCCTGATACACAATTAGAACTAATCCAAGTTTTGCCTCTTTTTTCTTTTTTATTATTTACAATTATATGCACTCAATTTGTGAGCTAGTATCCAAGAGATGCTGGCTTTCTGATGCAGATTGAATTTTAAAAAATAAGTATTTTTATTTTATTATTTTAAAGTTAATGTTATTATGGAATTATTTAGTTATTTAGTTTCTTTATTTCCGTATTGCATTATGGTAGTTGCCAATTCTGGTTGTTTCCTAATTAAGTTAGGTCTATATTTTGCTTATAAATAATGAATGTAAGCCTTAGGGCAAGGGGGAGAGTTTTTGATAATTAATATATTTCGAGTTTTATACTCTTTTGATCCGACTTTGGGTATTCTTGCGAACCAACCATTATTGAGCCTTTATTCTTGGTATTCTTTGTGAATCAACGAGTCTAGAGAGGAATCTTACTTCCGGTATTCTTGTTTGAATCAACGGATTTTAAGATTGTTACTATTTTACGTTTCACGCTGCATCAGTTGGTATCAAAGCTTGCTACGTTCTTGCTTCATGCCTAGGAATCGCAGTGATGCTCAAGAGGTTCCTGTGGAGGAGGTTCCTGTGGAAGAGGATGAGGTAATAGATGATGATTCTAACCTACTGAGTTTTCATAATGTAAGTCCGAGGAGAGATCATGCATTGAAAAATTATAAAGATCACGTGAACCAAATCACTAAACAGGATGATCTGATTAAATGGCCTTTCACGTCAAAATTTATTCCAGATCTGATTGTGGATTGGAGTAAGCCACTGATTTTTGATGATGAACCATTCACTGATGGAACTAATAATATGTTTAATCATATTTTGTCTATTAGAGGCATAAATCAGAGTAATGGAAGGGTTGGTGTTAATTTTATTTTTGTGGAAGATCATATACTTGGTTTACATGAGTTTAATGAGCATTCAAAATCGATTTTCGATATGGAGAATATTTTCTATGATCTGTTTGAAGAGAAATTTCATGAAGAGTTTACAAATTTGAGTTTGAACCGTTCAAATTTGGGCTTTGACGAAGATGTGTTAAATTTGTTAAAGAAAGTTGTTCCTTTAATTTTAGGAAACTCTTCTTTGAAGTTTAGATTTACAAAAATTAACCTCAAATACAAGGTTGATGCGGATAAGTGTAGACGTGCCAAGTTATTTCAAACAATAGAAACTCAAGGACAAGTTTTCTCAAGCGGGGAAGAATGATGCAGATTGAATTTTAGAAAATAAGTATTTTTATTTTATTATTTTAAAGTTAATGTTATTATGGAATTATTTAGTTATTTAGTTTCCTTATTTCCGTATTGCATTATGGTAGCTGCCAATTCTGGTTGTTTCCTAATTAAGTTAGGTCTTATAAATAATGAATGTAAGCCTTAGGGCAAGGGGGAGAGTTTTTGATAATTAATATATTTCGAGTTTTATACTCTTTTAATCCGACTTTGGGTATTCTTGCGAATCAACTATTGTTGAGCCTTTATTCTCGGTATTCTTTGTGAATCAACGAGTCTAGAGAGGAATCTTATTTCCGGTATTCTTGTTTGAATCAACGGATTTTGAGATTGTTACTATTTTACATTTCACGCTGCATCATACATAGCTAACGATGTCGAATCACATTTTTTTAATGTATATTTTACCCAACCAATTCTGAAAAATGAATGGTTTGCATTATTGATATCGGTCTCAAAATGGACCCACCAAATCTAAAAATTCTATTTTATTCAAATTTCAATAATTTTTTCCTTTTCCTTTTTAAATTCCTACTAAAATTCATACTCCAAATACCATCTCAGTCTACTGCGTGCATATATAATAAAATATTATATGGTGATCTTAGGCTAGTATATATATATATATATATATTGGTAAAAAAAAATTATTAATGTAAAACAAAGAGGAGTGAAAAAAAAAAATATTACATCAATAAAAATAAGGACAAGAAATAAATATATAGCACTAAAGAATTATGAACAAGTTGAAACAAGCACAAAGCTTATCACGAAGTATACCAAAATCTCAAACTTAACATTCTACATAGGTCAGATCACCTTTTTAAATTTTTTTACATATTTTTTTTTTTTTATAAAAAATTAAAAAATACATTAAATTCGCAAACCCCAGACAACTCATACAATAAAACGCCCTAGCTAGCCACAAACAATCCAAAGGAAAATTCATAGGCAGTATATGTGGTGTGAATAATTTTACATGCATTGACAATTTTACTAAAAGATGTCAAACGTGATTGGTTATTAAAAAAGCAATAATAAACATTCAATGACGTGGTGATATATATATTCTTAATAAGATTGTTAATAAGAATTTAAGTAGATCTATCATATAATACTTGAATATGATTTTTATTAATTGTAACATTAGAACTCGGTATCTTTATGCTGATTTTTTTTTTTTTAGAGAGAAGAGACTATTGCTCCAAAACCATTAAATAACTTTTCATAAATCATTCATCATAAAAATTATATCAATCAAATAAACATAGTAATTTTATTTCACAATTTATAACCACAGCCAATAACTCATCAACTTTTGTACACGAGTAATTTGATTAGCACCGCATTATCATGCATAAGACATCATAATAGAACTACTAAAGAACACAAACACTGGTAACAAACAACAAGAAGGATCCATCAACTGTAAATAAAAACATGTAAACATTTCAGTGCCTTTTCACAAAATCAGCAATCCCAGCAATGAGTTTCTCAGTCTCTGCCGCAGTATGGCGATCTATGTCGACAGCGATCTTATTAAGATAGAAACTGTGACCCATTGCAGAGTTAATCATCAACTCCACATCTTTATTAGCTTTCTTCAATTCTTCATAGTACTCCATCTCGGTGTCTTTGATCAAGTCCTTCTCCGCCACAAACAACAGTATCGGCGGCAGCTTCAGGGAGGCGATGGGCGGCGCTTTGAACCCCATCGGACACGTTATCGGGTGGTCTTTGGTGGCTCCCACTGGTAATGCCAAGCTCAAGAACTTGTCAACCATGTTCAGGGTTAGAAATGGTGACTCCGGTTGCTCCAACTCCGACTTACTTCGCTTCGACCGGACAAATCCCGGGTGAATCGGGATTGCTCCCGCTACTCGAAGCGGAGCCAAGTCGAGCTTCCCGGCTCGTGAAGCCACTTCATGGGCTAGGTTTCCGCCGGAGCTGTCTCCGATGAGGAAGACTCGGTTGAAGTCGGCCTGAGAGTTGAGCCACGGCTCGTTTGACTCGGCTTTAGCCAAGGACTGTAGCCAGAGGAGGGCGGAGATGCCGTCGTTGGAAGCAGCCGGGAGTCGGTGCTCGGGGGCGAGACGGAGGTAGACGGAGACGCAAATAGCTCCGGTGGAGCGCGCAAGGCGTGTGTAGATGTGGTAGTACATGAACCAATCGGCTTGGCTAATGCAAAAGCCACCGCCATGGAAATGAAGCAAGATTGGAAGCTTATCATAATTCTTATCAGTCTCTGGTAGATAGATTCGGACACGAAGATCCGACTCAGTATCGATGATTACATCACGAGTCGCGACTCCATCAATGAATTCTTCGTGGGGAGGGACCGATTCGGACATGAACTTGACCTCAGGGGGTCCAGTCCAGGTCCGGTCGACTGAGCCGTCGTCAAACACGGTGAGCCACCCGGACACCTCATCCACAATCTTTTTCTCACAAACCATTGTAAGAAAAGCTGTTATTTTATGTTTTGGTCTTAGGGTTTGGTTGAAATGTTTGATGAAGGATGGAATTGGAAACTTTGGTTTTTATAGGAGAGGGAAGGTGGAAAGTAGGGATGGGGAAGAAAGGTGTAAAGTGCACTGTAATGAAGAGGAAACTTCAACGAGGCTATTTTAAACCATTTAAAGTGGGGAACAAGAACTTTTTTATTCTTTATTTGAATAGTAAAGCCTTCACCAAAACGATTGGACTTCTGGTTTAACATATATACTTGATCATTGTCTCTACTTGTGAAATGGGGCTGCATTTTAACAGCAACTTCCTTTTTCTATTATTATTATATATATATATTTTTTCATGGGAGACTTTGATAGGATACTTTGTTGCATGAATGTGTTATAGTCAGTTCACATTAACCTGCTGTTCCACAATAAAATAATATAAAATAAAATAAAAGGTTCACGTTAATCTACATATTATTGAAAGGGAAATTTTAGTATGAAAAATAAAATATTCAGTAATATTAGAGATATTAACAAATATAGGAGAGAAAGTTTGCAAAAGGTGCGACTACTATACAAATCAATTTTTTAAATCTATTTTTTAGACTTGATGATATGTAAGTGAGATAATTGATTGATAATTAGCAAAAATATGAGAGATAGTTGACTTAGATATTTTAATATACTACCATATTATTGAGTTTAAAAAATAGAGTCTCTGAGTGTGTTTCTTCCAAGTCTCAAGTTTAATACTTACTAACTACAATAAATTTATTGGGGCCAGTCCATATAGGGCGTTTACTCTGACTTTAAATGAGACCCTCGCAAGTGGATGGTGAGATTGGTCCCCAGATTAGTCGAGATGTTCGTAAACTGACTCCGAGCATCCGGTTATCAAATAAATAAAAAAAAAAACATCACTCTTTATTTAATGGAGAAGGATCCTCTTTTGGCTCGTGGGATCCACCACGGATCCTGTTTTGATGACTGTTCATTTTGCAAGGTATTTCATGTATTTCATCCAGAAAAAAATTAGATCGATCCAATAATTATAACTTGTTTAATTTATTACGTTTGTCATAAAAAAAAAAGAAAAAAAAGTAAAGTTTATTTTTTAAAAACACAATTGTTGTCCATTGTTTTGGTGAAAACGTGATAAATTGCATATGTTGTGATTATCGAATTGACCTAATTTTTGTGAATGAGATACATGAAGTACCCGACAAAATGAACAATTTTGATCATCGAAATGGAATCTGTAGTAGCTCTTATAGGCCCAAATAATGTTCTGCAATTCAGATTTTGGATTGGAAAAGATCTCCGTCATTATTTAATATTGTGTTTAGTTGATGCAGGGACGGCAATAGGATGAACACTCAATACAAAGAACAACCAAGAATCGATAGAAAAGAGATACTCTCTCTTGTATAAACTTAATTCTCCAAAATAATTTAATTTTCCCTAGGGCTTATAACTCTTATTTATAGAAGAACTTGCCTAATTACAACAAGAAATATGCTAGAAAAGGTAAAACTCACTAATAATGCCATATCATCAAAGAGAATACGAAAATTATCAAAAATAGAAATATTTGAATTAAGTTCAGATCTATAAACTAGAATAAAAATTACATATTTTGAAGAAAAAAAACTAACCTCAAACGGATTCGTTTAGACAAGTAATTGACGAAAAAATATTTCAAAAAATTGCAAAATTGCGAAATTGGAGGTCCAAACATTGGAATTTGACCGAAATCTATCTCCATGTCTCAATCGAATTCCACATCATTCCAAATATCTCATCTCACATCTATTAATGCCTTTTACCTTTATCTTATTTGTTCATAAGTTTCAAAAACTTTATGACCAAATACCATGTGTCAGTTGACATGTTCATTAAACCGCATATTAGTATTCTTAACATTATGATATAAAAGTATTCTAAACAATATTGTAACGTATACGATAAGTTTAATATCTCTCGACTACACCATATACAAACACTTCAGTGTTTAGCCATTTTCAAACGAATTTGAAGCAGGTAACTTGGTAGTTGGGGATATTAATGGCATTTATGTAAGTATATATATTTATTAAAATTATAAATATAACTTAATGAATATATCTTATAACTATAAAATTGTTAAATGCCCTAAGAATATCACGTGCCTCATGTCACAAGTCAATCGCCAAAGTCATAGGCCAAACATAACATTTACTACAAATTTAGATTAATTGTCATATTGTGGTTCAGATTTATTCTATATATGAATCATATACTACTCAAACACACAACTTTCATTCAGGATACATTCGGAATTTGTAAGTAGAGTTCATAGCATTTTCCAAACATAATTGCTCCACCCATCATCAAAGCCATGGGGTACCACTACAAAAAAATTACACTTTCCCGCCCAATTTTTCTGACTAAATTTTTTTCAGTAGTGAAAGTTCGCATTTGATGACTAAATAAAAATATGTTTGGCAAAGGTTTGGAGTTTTGCCGTTTAATGATTTTTAGTTGCCAAGATATAATTTTTTGCAACTAAAATCAAAATTTGGTCTGCTAAAGTCGAAGCGAGAAGACAAAAAAGGGGGGGGGAGGGGATGGAAAAGTTTTTAGCGACTCAAATAATTTGGTTGCAGATATTAAAACTACATTGTTTTGATTGTTATTTAGACAGATTACATATTTGTCGACCAAAAAGTTTTGTAGGGGAAAATTAAATTCATAAAACCAAAGGGAATTATTGAAACCCTTTATACGCGATATATCTCTTTATTCTTGTGCAGCACTCCTTATACGCACCTCACTGTCGCTTCTTCTTCTTCATCACATTCGCCAAAGTCACTTCCCCGAGCAAGCATCAGCGATGCTTCGAGAAGTCGAACAGGCTCCATTGTTACGTCCATGTGGTTCACTCCAAATATAAGACTACATCTACTGCAATGCCCCGATATTTTGAGGTCAAATCACCACTCAACTTTCCTAATTACACGTCCAAGTCTAAAATACAAACTAACACAATAGATAAGTGACAATAGTTCTAAAGATCATAATATATATCTCTTTTCCATTGAACTAATACAAAATATTACATGCCATTTCCCTCAATTACAATTGATCAAACATTCAAAGTTCAAGGAGTTAGAGAATTAAAAGTAAATTGCCCTAATGACTTACATATTTCAAGACAAGTGTCTTGATCACACAAAAAGTGGAATTCAATTCCAAACATGAAAAGCTTGGTAGCATAAATACAAATAACATCAAACAAGCTTCCGTGCCCCATCCAAAAATCTCCACCGTCCTTCACTTAGATGGATGTACATCACCGATTCCTGAAAAGTTATCATGATAGGGATGAAAAAAGTTGCCCAATAAGAATACGTTTAACAGAATATATAAATGATTGAAATGGATATAATCATGCTATGATAAAATCCTTATTTTCTCCTTTAAAGAAACAATGTTTAATGCACTGTTGTCATGCTAAAATCCGAACGTCGACAGTGGGGCGGTAAATAAGTAATGAAGTCTCGAGTAAGAGCCAACACCATAAAGATTTTTACATATCGTAAAAATACTCTCACATTTGCTGACTCACAATACAACAAGGCGAGGGGCACCTAACACACAAATCCCTTTCACATTTGCGGGCTCATAATAAGGCTGGGCTAGTGGATGCCTAAAATCCCCTTTTTTTTTTTCCACATTTGTCGGCTTGATATAGCAGGGCCACATTTGTCGGCTTGATATAGCAGGGCCAGTGGACACCCAAAAACACTTTCCACATTCGTCCAACGATAAACACAAAATAAGACAATTGGGCACCTAAACTCTCCGGGTAAGTACCAATACAACACACAACTCGTTTCTAAAACCTGATTCTACTTCATACTCTATTTACCCACTTTCAACATTTTAACAGCGACTTCCTTTTTCTATTATTATATATGTATATTTTTTTCATGGGAGACTTTGATAGGATACTTTGTTGCATGAATTTGTTAAAGTCAGTTCACATTAACCTACTGTCCCACCAAAAAAAAAGAAAAAAAGAAAAAGGGTTCACGTTAACCTACATATGATTGAAATGAAAATTTTAGTATAAGATAGTGAAAGTCGTCCCCCTTCTTTTTTTTTTTTTTTTCTATTAAAAATTAAGGAAAAAGTTAGGGAGTCTTAAAAAATCAATTTGAAAAGTAATTAAAAAATAAAATATTTAGTAATATTAGAGATATTAACAAATATAAGAGAAAGTTTGCAAATGGTGCGATTACTATACAAGTCAATTTTTTTAAATCTAATTTTTAGACTTGATAACATATAAGTAAGATGATTAATTGATAATTAGCAAAAATATGATAAATATAATTGCTTTAGATATTTTAATATACTGCCACATCATTGAGTTAAAAAAGTGGGGCATAAGAGTGTGTTTCCTTCTGGTCTCAAGTTCAATGCTTACTAGCTGCAATAAGCTTATTGGGGCTAGTCCATATAGGGCGTTTACTCTGCCTTTAAATGAGACCCTCACAAGTGGATGGTGAGATTTGTCCCCAAATTAGTTGAGGTGTTCGTAAGCTGGCTCTAAGCATCCGATTATCCAAAAAAAAAAAGCATCACTCTTTGTTTAATGGAGAAGGATCCTCGTTTGAGCTCGTGGGATCCATCACAGGTCATTTTTTAATGATCCGAACCGTTTATTTTATCATGTATTTCATATATTTCATCTACAAAAAAACTAGGTCGATCTAATAATTGTAACTTATTTAATTTATTATGTTTGTCAAAAACAAAATGTAAAGTTTATTTTTAAAAACACAATTGTTGTCTATTGTATTGGTAAAAACGTGATAAATTGAATATGTTGTGATTACCGAATTGACTTAATTTTTGTGTAAATAAAATACATGAAGTGCCCAATCAAATTAACCATTGGGATCATCAAAACGGAATCTGTAATAGGTCTTATGGGCGCAAATAGCATCCTATACTCTAGATTTTGGACTAGATCTGCGTCATTATTTAATATTGTGTTTAGTTGATGCAAGGAAGACAATACGATAAACACTCAATACAAAGAACAGTCACAAATTGATAGAAAAAGAGATACTCTCTCTTGTATAA